AGAGGGAATGGCAAACTGTCAGATGGCCCAACACAATGAGAATGAAATGTGAAGCCAGGAAAATCTGACTTGGACCCCCTGCTTGATCACTTATCAATCATGGTAGCACTTCGCCCACCTGAGACTCAGGCTGTCAGCTGACAAATGAAACTACACACGCCTGTTCTGAGGATTAAGGGACAATGATGGCAGAGAAGTTCCTTGTGAGTGTAAAGGGCTTTAGTGAAATTGGTAATGGTGGTGGCTGACATATAACATATTAAAGCTCTATGCTGGGAAGGCTAAGAAAACTCGACAGTAAAAACTCCCGATCGCAGGACTTCCAGAAGGATCGTCCAGAGGGGAAAAAAGCTCTTCTCAATCTCCCATATGATACAGATGTGGGAAGAGCCGCAGTCACTGCCAACAACATGAAAAAGAAAGCATGTGTGTGTCCTGAGCAGCTGGCAGACAGCGGTGGCAGCTACTGGTCTTATCATGGGGTCTGAACCACATGCTTTCCTGTGGATGACAGCGAAAGAGACTGAAGGTTGATGGAGGGAGACCTGCGTGGTGTAAGACCCGCTGCTATGAAGTGTTTCGCCACCCCACTCCTGAGCCCTTTTCTCATAACAGGTACTTGCCGGCAATGATGGACTAGGTGGGTTGGGCCAATCTTCCTGAAGAAGACAATTAGAAAAGCAAGATAACCATCATTCTTCACAGAACTAGAAAAAAAATCCTAAAATTCATATAAGAAAAAAAAAAAAAAAAAAAGCCCGCATAGCCAAAGCAAGACTAAGCAAAAAGAACAAACAAAAGAAGGCATCACATCATCTGATTTCAAACTATAATATAAGGCCATAGTCACCAAAACAGCATGGTACTGGTATAAAAATAGGCACATAGGCCAAGGGAACAGAATAGAGAACCCAGAAATAAACCCAAATACTTACAGACAACTGACCTTCAACAAAGCAAACAAAAACATAAAGTGGGGCAAGGACACCCTGTACAACAAATGGTGCTGAGATCATTGGTTAGCCTCATGTAGGAGAACAAGATTGGATCCTCGTGTCTCACCTTGTACAAAAATCACCTCAAGATGGATGAAGGACTTAAACCCAAGACCTGAAACTATAAAAATTCTGGAAAATAACATCAGAAAAACCCTTCTAGACATCGGCTTAGGCAAGGACTTCATGACCAAGAACCCAAAAGCAAATGCGATTAGCTGGGACTTAATTAAACTAAAGAGCTTTTCCACGGCAAAACCAGTCAGCTGAGTAAACAGACAACCCACAGAGTGAGAGAAAATCTTTACCATTGATACATCCGATAAAGGACCAATATCCAGAATCTACAACAAACTCAAATTAGCAAGAAGAAACCAAACAATCCCATCAAAAGTGGGCTAAGAACATGAACAGACAATTCTCAAAAGAAGTTATACAAATGGCCAAAACAAACATACAAAAAAATGCTCAATATCACTAATGATCAGGGAAAGCAAATCAAAACCACAGTGTGATACGACCTTATTCCTGCAAGAACAACCAGAATCAAAAAATAATAGATGCTGGTGTACATGTGGTGAGCAGGGAACACTTCTACACTGCTGGTGGGAATGTAAACTAGTACAACCACTATGGAAAACAGAGTGGAGATGTCTTTTTTTTTTTTTTTTTTTTTGAGATGGAGTCTCGCCCTGTCACCCAGGCCGGAGTGCAGTGGTGTGATCTTGGCTCACTGCAACCTCCTCCTCTCGGGTTCAAGCGATTCTCCTGCCTCAGTCACCCAAGCAGCTGGGACTATAGGTGCCTGCCACCACACCTGGCTAATTTTTGTATTTTTAGTAGAGACAGGGTTTCACCATGTTAGCCAGGATGGTCTCGATCTCCTGACCTTGTGATCTGCCTGCCTCAGCCTCCCAAAGTGCTGAGATTACAGGTATGAGCCACCGCACCCGACCTGGAGGTTTCTTAAAAGAACTAAAAGTAGAAGCACCATTCGATTCAGCAATCCCACTACTGGGTGTCTATCCAGAGTAAAAGAAGGCATTATATGAAAAACACACTTGCACACACATGTTTATAACAGCACAATCCACAACTGCAAAAATGTGGAACCAACCCAAATGCCTGATAGTGAGCAATGCCTGCGCCGAAATCCAGAAGAAGATGGAAATTCAGAAGGGAAGCCTGGTGGCTGGGGCTGCCTTGCCATCCCAAGGGGGCAGCTGAGGGGCAAGGGAGAACCTCCAATGGCTCAGTGGGAAAAGAGATCCAAGTTGTGGTCCAGGGCATGCCAAGGACGGGGTCCCTGGCAAAACACCCACAAGCAGGACGGAGACCCCAACGGAATGTAACTTGGAGTTAAGAGTGAACTGAAAGAAAAAGAAACCTACCTTTGAATGGGCCGCGGGCTGCCTTAAAGTTACCTGGGTGGCTCTGAAAACCTCAAACCCTGAATTGAGAATAAACTGATTCTGGAGTGCTAACACCCCCACGAATGTGGGAGAGGCAAGGGAAAATGCTCCTTGGTAGTGGAAAGCAGAGTTCTAGGAATGAAGTTATTTCCATAGGAACAACTGGGGACCCACAGGAAAAAGAATGAAGTTGGACCCCTACTTCACACTGTAGGCAAAAAATTAAATTCAAGTGGATCAAAAGTCTAAATATAAGAGCTAACACTGTAAACTTCTCAGAATAAAGTATACATGTAAACCTTCAGGACCCTGGATCAAGTAATCATTTCTTACATATGACCCAAGAAGCAATAAAGAGCAAGGAAGAACTGAAATCTGCTTCCACATGGACGGACCTTGAAACCACGACGCTAAGTGAAAGAAGCCAGGCACGGAAGCCCATGCACTGTAAGAGCCACTTCTGTGAAATGCTGACAACAGGCAGCTCTACGGAGACAGGAAGCAGATAAGTGGCTGCCTAAGATGGACAGGGGTGGTGGCAAAAGGGCACTGACTGCTAATGGGTACGGCGTTCTTTGTTTTTGAGACAGGGTCTCACTCCTATCACCCAGGCTGGAGTACAGTGGTGTAGTCACAGCTCACTGCAGCCTCAACCTCCCAGGCTCAGGTGATTCTCCCACCTCAGTCCCCCGAGTAGCTGGGACTACAGGCACGTGCCACCATGCCCAGCTGATTTTCTGTATCTTTTAGTAGAGACAGGGTTTCTGCATGTTGTCTAGGCTGGTCTCAAACTCCCAGGCTCAAGAAATCAGCCCACCTTGGCTCCCAAAGGGCTGGGATTACAGGCATGAGCTGCTGCGCCCAGCCAGTACAATGTTCTTTTGGGAGCGATGAAATTCAGAATCTAGATTATGGTGATGGTTGCACAACTCAGTGAATATACCGAAAAAAAAAAAAAAAACATTGAATTGGACTTGAAAAGGGTGAATTTACGGTATGTGAATTATACCTCAATAACGCTGTTATAAAAAAATTATTTCAATAATTTTTCCCCTAATATAATGCCTAGCGTGAACTTGCGATAACCTGGCACAAGGATGCCAAACATGACCTGAACAAGAACAGCACAACAGACAACAGAACCAGGTTCAAACTCCACCAAAACCACTGTCAAACCACCATGCTGATGAGATTCATGAAGACAAAAGTCAACATTTCTAAAAGAAATTTAACACTGCACAAATAGTATTTCCAGCTTGAAGAAGAAACAACTGCAAATTCTAGATAAAAGCCAAAACGAACTCTAAAACAAAAACCAAAAAGATTAGAGATTCTGGGACTGCACACTACTGCCATGGACGGAATGTGTTCCCCCAAATTCATATCCTGAAATCCTAACCCTTAAGAGGATGGTGTTACGAGGCAGAACCTCTGGGAAGTGATAGGTCATGAGGGCAGAGCCCCCACGAATGGGATTGGTGCCCTTATAAAAGAGGCCCTAGAGACCTGCCTTGTCCCTTCCACCACATGAGGACACAGATGGAAGATGCCATCTGTGGACCAGGAAGCAGGCCCTCGCCAGACACCGAATGGAACAGTCCCTTGATCTTGGACTTCCCAGCCTCCAGAACTGTGAGAAATACATTTGTTGTATACAAGCCACTCAGTTTATCATATTCATCAGAGCAATCCAAGTAGACTAAGACAACTACCATCACCAAAATTAAGAACCCAGAGAACAGGAACAAATTTAATGGCAGATTAGAAGCAGCCAAAGAGAGAAATAATGGGCTGGAAAGTAACAAGAAAAATAAACCAGGCTAAAGAAGGAAAAAGAATGGTAGGGCTAGACATGATGGCTCACACTTGTAATCCCAGCACTTTGGGAGGCCAAGGTGGGCGGATCGCTTGAGCTCATGAGTTCGAGACCAGCCTGGGCCACATACAGAAATGCTGTCTCTAGAAAAGATACAAAAAGTAGCTAGGCATGGTGGCATGTAATCCAACCTAACTTGGGAGGCTGAGGTGGGACGATCGATTGAACCCGGGAGGCAGAGGTTGCAGTGAACCGAGATCATACCACCGCATTCCAGCCTGGGCAACAGAGCCAAGCCTTGTTTCAACAAAGAAAAAAGGTTGGTAAATACAAAAGAGAATAGAAGTAAATATAGTGAGAAAGTCCAACATATATTTAAATGTAGTCTCAGGGAAGAAGGAGAAATGGGGAAAAGCTGTATTTTAAGAAAATGGCTGAAAATTTTTCCCAAAACTTAGAAAGAAGCCCAGCCAATCCCAAGTAGAATCAAATTTTAAAAGAATCCATATGCAGACACAATAAAGTGACGCTGTAGAAAATAAAAGTAAAAGAGAAAGTCGTAGAAGCAGCCTACAGAGACAAGCTGCCTTTTAAATATAGGAGTGAAAGTGACATGGGTTTCTGCTTCACCTCCACATCATCCGAATATTTAGCTATTAAAGACGAAACTCTTTGGGTTAATCCATCTTGCCTATGCTTGAACAAAATTAAAATTAAAATGGATCTCAGAAAGGCACGTGGTACTGAAATGGCTGCGAAACACAGCAGACAACCTACCTTCAGCCACTGCTCGGCCTGCTCCTTGCTCTGGACGGCAAGCACCAGCGGGTCCGTGCCCTGCTGAGTTATCTTCAGCTCGTGCTTCTTCTTTTTGCTGTCTTTCGGGATGTACGTAATGTTGCAGCCTTGCAGCGGCAGTTCCATCTGAGGCTGCTGGTCCTTGGAACTTTTATAGCACTGCATTCAACACAACAAATCAACTGATATTATAAGGGAGTTCAAACAGAAACGCTAAGGAAACTCTAGCATCATGAAAACATGAGTGCAGGCACGGCATCGGAAGGTCTGAATCTGCAGATGAGCAGGTTCACACACACAGTGCTCTTCACCGACACTTCGCCTCCAAGCGTGAAGAAGCACACCCATTCACTGACTCACAAAAGCTTACTGAGCATCTAACGCTGGATTCAACAAACACCAAAAGTCCCTCCTCTGATACACTTATGATCCAGTGGCGCTTCTCCATTGAATTACAGGAATGTATTTACATAACTAAAAACATAGGCTGGGCACGATGGCTCACGCCTGTAATCCCAACACTTTGGGAGGCTGAGGCAGGTGGATCACTTGAGTCCAGGGATTCGAGATCAGCCTAGGCCACATGAAGAAACCCCATCTATACCAAAAACACAAAAAATCAGCCAGGCATGGTGGCGCGGTCCTGTACTCCCAGCTGCTTGAGAGGCTGAGGCAGGAGGATCCCTTGAGCCTGGGAGCCCGAGGCTGTAGTGAGCCATAATAGCACCACTGCACTCCAGCCTGGGTGACAGAGAGACTCTGTCTCAAACAAACAAAACAAAACAAAACAAAACAAAACACCCAACACGCACACATAAATCTATATTTAACATGTTTATTTAAATGTATATGTAAAATACATTTATATTTATGTGAATAATATATAAAATATACTATTAGATTTGTTGCAACTCCACAGCCCTAATGAGAGATAATATAATCATTCGGGTACTTTATTGAATAACTGATATTGCTTGGTATCTGCCTATCTCATCTTCTTTCTGAAAGACATAAATTATTTTAGTAAGAGGATAATATCAATACATAGTGTACAAAGCTGATCCATCTACACAACGGACATTCACTCTAAAGATTTCAATTGGTAAGATTAGAACTGAGACTTAACTCAAATGGGTCTTGCTTAATCTTTATCTGTAAAACTGAGAATCAAATCCTTGCCCAAAGCTTTCCCTACCCCCGTTTGTTTACCTGTACTACTTGGGGCCAAAGCATACCTCCTAACAGTCCAAGAGGGCAGATCTGGGTCCTAGAGTGCAGTGGCACAATCTCGGCTCACTGCAAGCTCCGCCTCCTGGGCTCACGCCATTCTCCTGCCTCAGCCTCCCGAGTAGCTGGGACTACAGGCGACGCCACCACGCCCAGATAATTTTTTGTATTTTTAGTAGAAACGGGGTTTCACCGTGCTAGCCAGAATGGTCTCGATCTCCTGACCTCGTGATCCACCCGCCTCAGGCTCCCAAAGTGCTGGGATTACAGGCGTGAGCCACCGTGCCTGGCCCAGGGAGTTTCTTAAACTTCCTGAGTCTGTTTCCTCATTTGCAAAACGTGTTTTGCAGTTATTATTATTTTATTGAATTAAGTTATCAGCAACAATAACATCTGCTACCAAGTGCTGAGTTTCAACATCATATGAGGCATTTCAAGCACCTCAGTCGGCACGGTGGCTCATTCTGCAGATTATGAAACCGGGTGCAGCTGGTTAAGTCACATGCCTGAGAGTCAGGCAACATGAAAAGCGACAGACCAGGACTCCAGCCCCAACTGTGCACGTGCAGAGCCTGCATCTTGACTCTAAACATTCACTGATGAAGGAAGGAATGAATAGACAGCTATTTTCAGAAGGGATTTCTAGAGTCCTTTCCTGGTTTGTTTCGTGTGTGTGTGTGTGTTTTGTTTTTTTGTTTGTTTGTTTGTTGAGACGGAGTCTCACTCTGTTGCCCAGACTGGAGTTCAGTGGCACGATCTTGGCTCACTGCAACCTCCGCCTCCCGGGTTCAAGCAATTCTCCTGCCTCAGCCTCCTGAGTAACTGGGACTACAGGCGTGCACCACCACACCTGGCTAATTTTTGTATTTTTAGTAGAGACAGGGTTTCACCAGATTGGCCAGGCTGGTCTCAAACTCCTGACCTCATGATCCGCCTGCCTCAGCATCCCAAAGTGCTGGGATTACAGGTGAGCCACAGCGCCTGGCCTTCCCTTTTGCTGTTCTAAATCCAGTACTTTGAAGTACACAGATAAGAAATATATTTCCTTTTTAAAAACTCAACTGATCTGAAAAGGGAGAAAAAAAATACCTCAACTAACCTCAGATTTTTATGAATGTTTACCATTTGAGATGTTTTGCATTTTGAGTACATATAAAAAGAAAGGTGAAAGTCAACTAATCGTACAATGGAAGGAATCAGAAAGGGAATTTTATTTTTTTATTTTGAATTGTGTAAACCTTTGTAATCGACATATAATAACTGTACGTATTCATGGGGTACAGAGTGACGTTTTGATACATAAAATGTATAGCAATCAGATCAGGGTAATCAGCATGCCCACCATCTCGAACACTTATTTCAGAAAGGCAACTTTATAACATATTCTTAAGTTAAATGTCTCACAAGAGATACACTATCAGCAATAGGAGGATGAACGCTTATTTCAGAAAGGGAACTTTATAACATATTCCCCCTTAAGTTAAATGTCGCACAAGAGATATGCTATCAGCAATAGGACAAGCTGCAATCTGGCAGTCCCAGCAGGCTGGATTTCCTGGGAAGCCGCCTCTACAGCAGACAGCAGCATGCAGGAGTTTAATGAACCGGCGTCCTGAACACAACACCAGGAGCAAGGAGAGGGAGGAGTGGGGTGGGCAAAGATGCCCAGTTTGAGTGGCCTCAGGGATGGATACCACCATGAGAGCTCTGGGGCTGGAAGGCCCCATCAGAGCTGCCCAGTGAGTCTGGGTCTGTACCTCCCACACACACAGTGAACGCAGACCCCTGGGGAGGGAGCTTGGCCTTGGGCCCTAGGCCCCTCTTCAATGCAGACAGTCCCCGAGGTGGGTTCACCAGCCCTGCCAAGGAAATGCGACCTTCAGTCCTGAAGCGGGAATCTGGGTACATCACAGTACCCACCCCAGAGCTACCTGAGCACAGAAGGAACAAGTTCCAGAAGGAGATACAAAAAAAGCTGTTCATGGCGGTAACTTGTGGGAAGACAGACTGGGAACATTTAGGGGAAGAACATGGCTTTTTCTTTTCTGTGCTGTGTAAACTTGGAAAGCATTTGCTTCTATCACTGTTCATTATTTTGTATGCCAGTGGGGGTCATCCGGGCCCTGAACGACAGGTCGTTTTTAAAGGAAAAAAGCTTCATCATAAAAATAACTTTGATTCTGCATTTGACCGAAGACAGGGCTTTCACCTGCTTGTCCACTAATTTCCTCTTAAATATTCACAACTACCCTAAGTCGTAGGTATTATCATCCTGGTTTTGAAGGGGGAAAGCTGGTAGGAGCCCAAATGGAAGACACAGCAGGGGAGAGGGGAAGAAGTCAGGGTATGAGGGAGAGGAGGGCGGGGGAGAGGGACCAGGGACTCAGAGCCCCAAACCGTTAATCCCTACGCACAAGCACGAAGCTTCCCTCACTGGATTTGGAAGCTTCTCTTTTAAATGAAAGTTGATTATGCATTTCTAAAACATTTATATAATATATCCACATCTTGTAGCCATTATATCAGACTGTAAATAAGGACCACATTAATCTTCTTTTTCTCATTTTTTAATATTCCCCATGGCATCATTTTTGGCACGTTCTAAATCTGGGAGAAATTCAGGCCATACTTGTGGAAAAAATATGTACTCTGTTCAAAAAACTGAACAAAAACATTAAAATATATATAATATCCTAGGAACCTAGTTTAAAAAAAAAAAGATTCCCACAATTCAAAGACGAAGCCTGGATTTACCAAAAAAAAAAAAAAAAAAAGGATTATCTGTTCCACAGAGTGCTCTACAGAAACATAAATTCTCGTTTTCTAATTAATGATGTAATTTTCAGCAATGTCTCCCCCAAGGTTAATCTGAGGGAAGAACAAAAGGCAAAAACATACTCTTAAAGTTCATAATTCCAATAACCAGCCATGGTTTCTAAAAAAGGGCAGGAGGGAAAAAAGGAAGGTGGACAGGGAGTGGGGAGGAGGGAGGAGGGAGGAGGGAGGAGGGAGGAGGGAGGGATGCCACACAGCGTCCTCCTGGGCTGCAGCCTCCCTGCTGGGGCCTCCACTGGAATAACCCCACAGCAAGGTCCAGGTTCTCCCCTTCCCTGCTTCTCTGTTCCTTACTTGTCTTCCTGTTCTGCCTCTCAGATTAAAAAAAAAAAAAAAAATTGGCCCCAAGCTTTCCAAAAGAATTTCCTTTCCTGGCTGCTCCCCGTCCCACTTCTATGAGCTGGCTTTGAGGAATCCACTGACTCATTACAAATGAGAAAATCCATCTTGCAACTCCTGGCAAGTTAAAATCTTGTGCATTTCCACAGACGCAAACCACAGGCACTGCCCGGGAATGGGAATGATTTTGTCTGCTGGCTGCTTCTGGAGCTGGGAAACCAGCAACCTTGAACACACAACACGGGTGAGTGCTCCCTGACAGTGCGTGGGGGCCCCCGGCATGGGACTGCGGCGAGCTCAGGGTACCTGGCTGAGGTCTGAGCGCTGCCCTTCCTGCACAGCTGATGTTAATGGTGACTGGATATAAACTCCATGGCTTTTGAGTGTAGCAATCTTACAAAAATGCAAGCGATTCCAAATGTCTTACCAGCAGCTTGGTGTCTTTGATGACGCAGAGCAACTTGGTCCACTGGCCGAACCGCTTCTTCCGCAACAAGAAGGCGCAGATTTTGGCGTCCTTGACCAGGTCCATGGAGGCCTCCTCGGAGGGCCACTGGTGCCGGGTTTTCTTCCCCTTCCCATCCTCCTCCTCTTCATCATACGATTCGTAAGAGCTGCTCATCGCATCAGAATCATAATCTGTAAAAAATAAACATACACTGGTAACAGGACTTTTTTACCTTGAAGTTTACCCCTGGGCTCAAGAGCACATCATCATGTTTTTAATCACCAAGTAACTGAATGAAAAAGGGACTTCTGCCCCTTAAAGGAAAAAACAATAATAACAAAAACACAATGCTAAGACTTGGGCAGTGGAAACTCAACGAAAAGTTGAAGTGCCTACAAATCCTGTGTTTATAAAAACTGTTTCTAGACTGTTTCATATGGACCGGACCCTACGCTGACCCGACACTGGCTTGACACGGACTCCTCGCCACATTCTTGCCGGACGAGCGCCATCCTCATTCTGCAGTGTGTTCCGCCACACGGAACTCTTGCCCATGGAGGTCCTTGCCCTCCTGCGTCCATACCTTTATGTCAAAGTCCTCCTGAGGCTGCAATCTGCCTCTCCCTGCTGGCATCCCCACACGCACAACATCCCTGACACTCAAGATGCCACCAACGGCCACCTCTCCCTTCTGGAGCATCCTTGGAACTTTCACAGAAATGTACGCCTGTCCTTCTAATGAAGCCCATCTCACTCTGTGACACACTGGCATGTGTACTGCTGTGACTGACAGTTTCCCAAACGTATCGCCCCTCTGTCACCTCAGGGTCTCTGCATGTGCCACGCCCTCTAGCAAGCTTCCTGTCCATCCACTTGCCCTCCCGCCTTTGCCTGGTAAGTGCTCTCATCTTTCAGGGTTTAACTTCCTGGTATCTCCTCCAGCAAACCCTCCCTGAATCACCAAAGCTGGGTGCTATGGACTGACCTGTGTCCCCCCCGAAATTCAAGTGTTGCAGCTCTAACCTCAATGACTGTATGTAGAGATAGGGCTTCTAGGAGGTTACTAAAGTTAAATGAGGTCTTAAGGGTGGGGTCCTAATCCCACAGGTCTGGTGGTCTTATAAGAAGAGAGAGAGACCTCTGTCCCCACCATGTGAGGACACAGTGAGAATTTAGCCATCTGAAAGCCAGGAAGAGGCTTCACCAGAACCCAACCGTGCTGGCGGTCTAACCCGGACTCCAGGACTGACGAGCTTCTGCTGTGGAAGCCCCGAGTCTGAGTCTCCACATGGCCCACCACAGAGCGGATGGCAGCGCACCTCAACACTGACCCCCACTGCAGGCTGTAAGCCCCCTGAAGAAAAGGAGACCATCTTGTTGGAGGTGATCTCCCCAGCACCTAACAAAGTACCTGGCACAGGGCAAGTACTCAAATAACTGTAGAAGGAAGCGCTGTTAAATGTATTTAAAATACACTGGCAAAGCCCTCGGTAGGGTGAATGGCACAGTAAAAGTGCTTCCTAAATACCGGCGACCGTCTTTCCTCTCATTACTTTCAGCTGTGCTGGGTGATAAGCTCCCTGAGACAGGATCTGATTCATCTCTGAATTCCCCTCAGCCCCCAGAATCATCTGGAACACGTTTCTTTTTCAAAACATACTTCAGGGATGAACACCTAAATGATAAATGAATGAGAGATAAGGAGAACAATGGCCAATGCAGTTGGCTGTGCAATGCAGCACAAGTGCCAAAAAGGGCAGAGTCTACACAGAAGAGAACTCATATCTTTACTTGCTGGAAACTGGAGTTTAAGTTGTACTTAGTAATCATGTTTGTTTTATAATTTCCTTGCAAAGATTCAATACGAACAGGGAGGAATGGAAAGATTTAAGGTTTAAATTGAATTTTCCACAATGAAAAGTCATCCAGGAGGCCAGGTGTGGTGGCTCACACCTGTATGTAATCCCAGCACTTTAGGAGGCCAAGGCGGGCGGATCGCTTGAGCCCAGGATTTCAAGACCAAGCCTGGGCAACATAGCGAGACTCCATCTCTATAAAGAGTAAAAAGCTAGCCGGGCATGGCAGGGCCCGCCTGTGGTCCCAGCTACTCAAGAGGCTGAGGCAGGAGGATCATCTGAGCCCAGGAGTCTGAGGCTGCAGTGAGCTGGATCCTGCCACTGCACTCCAGCCTGGGCAACGGAACAAGATTCTTTTTTTTTTTTCTTTTTTTTAAGTCCAGGAAGGATTTTAAGCAAAAACTAAGGAGATTGAAGAGGTAACTTTGGCAACGGCACTAGGAACGGGCTGAAGGAGGGACGAGGTAAGAGACAGGAGCAGCTCAGAGGCCATGAGGGACGCGATGAGGGCTGACTCAAAGGTTGGAGGCGAATAGAACGTCCTGGTCTGGGTCACAGGTCTCTTCCCCGATTCTCCCCCTGCTTCGTATCACCCCTCTGCCCACAGATGGGTCGTTCTCACTGGCTCCACATCCCCCTCCAACTCACCCCACACACCCATCAGCACCTACACCCACCCAGCACCCCCGCTTCACACGGCAGCCACAGGTGGCTACTTACATTCCAATTTTCATTCAAGTCCCACATGTCAAGTGGATACTGGGGACCCAGGGGAAAAATACCCACCCTGCTGCCAAAGCTCTGCTGGATGGGGGTGGAGGGGCGAGAGCTTTACAGTCTAGGGCAAAATGCAAGCTGTCATGGAGCCGGGAACGAGGGGGCAGCACACGCAGGGGCACAGGGAAGACAGCAGAGAAGATGTCACTTTAGAGCCAGGCCTCGAGACAAGCTGTTGCCAACCAGAGTAAAAAGTCTGAGAAGGAGAAATGTAGTGAGTGAAGGCACTGACAAGCATCAGATGCTGCCAAGGCGCAGTGGGTCCCTCTCAGCTTCTGGACAGGACGTGAGCGAGGCCACAGAGCAAAGTCCATGGTTACCCTTGGCTGTGCTAGGAAGGGGCAGGGGGCTTCTGGGGCTGACAGGGTTCTACCCTTGACCTGCATGGTGGTTACACACATGGCTTCTTTATGATAAGTCATTGACCATATACTCATATTTTATACACTTTCTGGTAAATGGATTTTACAACAACAGGGTTTTTAAAACAGTGAGCATGGCTAGAACAAGGGTATGTGGAAGGAAACAATGGAACATGAAATGAGAAGACAGGCAGAGGCCAGACCGCAGATCGTGTGCTGTGCTACGATCCAACGTAAACTGAGGGGTTCTGGAGGGGCCATGGACATCATCCTAGCTTTATTTCAGAAAGATTCTCATCGCGGCGTGGAGGACCACACAGCCTTCAGGGCTCGGCCACTTGCTGGAACATCAAGTTCAGTAAATAATGAAGTAAAGATTTAATGAGTCAATTAGTTATAAATGGGAAAACTACCTTTGATTTCACTCATTCGACAAATATGTTGTGAGCTCTATTCTATGCCAGGCACTTTTTTAAAATTATCTGTATTTACATAGCAGGTGCTAGGATAAAGCCATGAAAAGTCAGGCCTGCTCCAAATTTACAAAGGTTTCTCACATCCACCATCTCACTGGACCTCCCAGCCACTTGGAGATGGGCACATAACATGTTAGTCTTACTCCGAGAAAAGGAAGAATGAGGCTCAAACACTACAAGAGTCATCCAGGATCACAGGCTTGGTGAACGACAGGACTGAAACGTGAACCCAGGCCTTCCGCTTTTAAATGGAAAAAGTAAACTATGTTCTAGCAGCCCTTTCATCCTTGGGAATGAGTTGAGGTCTACGGCTATGAAAAAGACAATTAAGTTCATTGTCTTGCCTTCTTCTAAAAGTGTAGAAACAACAGACCCATTTTTAGAAAAACCAGCCAACTTAGCAGCAAACAAGGAACAGCCAGAAGTCACCAAGCCTAAAGGATAATGAACTCTCCGGAAAGTATGCTTAGCGATGAACCAATCAAGAGAACTCTCCGGAAAGTATGCTTAGCGATGAACCAATCAAGAGAACTCTCTAGAAAGTATGCTTAGCGAGGACCCAATCAAGAGAAGAGACTCTCACTCAGGATATCGCTTGGTAGCTCCACCAGCCAGAGCTGTAGTCTAGGACTTTGAGAAGTTCACCGTCTGGGGGACTGGGGTTTTGGATTACATTAAGAGGTAATGAACGCTTTGTGAAAAATTATGAAAAACTCAGAAATGGGGAGCAGGGAAAAGAATTCCTGATTGCCTTCTAGTCTTGTAGTAAGCGGTACAGGTATTCACAGAGAGATGAACAGGAAGGTTTTATTTCAGGGGTACTCAGAGGGGACATTGATTAGACACCATCAGGTCCATCGCATTCAGATGTCTACACTTCGTGTAGAGTAAGGCAGCAGACCAAAGGGCCAACAACAGAAGCGTGTGAACTCTGTTGAAAGGCCGCTGTTGATTAGAAAATGCTCTTTGTATCAGTCAGGACTCTCCAGGGAAATAGAAGCCATAGGAGATAGATAGATAGATTAGACAGATGGATGGATAGAAAGATGCTCAGGCGGATGGATGGATGTATGAATGGATGGACAGGTGGATGGGTGAGTGGCTGGAAGAAGCGAGGGAGAGAAGGAAGGAAGGGAGGAAGGAAGGGAAGGACGGAGGGAAGGGGGGAAGGGGGGAAGGAGGGAAGGAAGGAAGGAAGGAAGGAAGGAAGGAAGGAAGGAAGGAAGGAAGGAAGGAAGGCAGGCAGGCAGGGAGGGAGGGAGGGAGGGAGGGAGGGAGGGAGGGAGGAAGGGGGAAGGGGGTAAGGGGGAAGGGGGGAAGGGGGGAGGGAAGGGGGGAAGGGGGAAAAGGGGGAAGGAAGGGAGGGAGGGAGGGAAGGGGGGAAGGGGGGAAGGGGGAAGGAAGGAAGGAAGGAAGGGAGGAAGGGAGGGAGGGAGGAAGGGGGAAGGGGGGAAGGGGGCAGAGGGGAAGGGGGAAGGGGGGAAGGGGGGAAGAGGGAAGGGGGGAAGCGGGGAAGAGGGAAGGGGGAAGGAAGGGAGGGAGGGAGGGGGGAAGGGGAGAAGGGGGGAAGGGGGGAAGGAAGGAAGGAAGGAAGGAAGGAAGGAAGGAAGGAAGGAAGGAAGGAAGGAAGGAAGGAAGGAAGGCAGGCAGGCGGGCGGGCGGGCGATTTATTAGGGGGCGTGGCTCACGTAATTACAGAGATGGAGAAATCCCACAACAA